GGTGAGCAATTGCATTGTGCATCACTTATTTTGTATATTCTTTTATCATTATTATTATTATTATTTTCCCTTCCTTTTCTGTCCTATTAAACTGTCTTTATCTCAACCCACAAATTTTACTTTGTTTTTTTCAATTCTCTCCCCCATCCCACTGGGGGGCGGGGGAGTGAGCAAACAGCTGTGTGGTGTTTAGCTGCCTGCTGGGTTAAACCACAACACTGAGGCTATAAAAATTAAACTTGCATGTATGCTGCAAGATCTAAAAACAGTATCACCATCACTTGAAAGGAATAAGGAAAGAGAAAAATCTTCTAAGCTTAAGTAATTTAATATTATCTTCTGTGTACTGCCAGAAGAACCTTAAACTGTTGTGGATTCACTGCTACACTAATATTTACCTAACATTTACTCTTGAACTCTAAGCCATTTAAACTGATGGTTTATTAAAACAAAGGAAAGAAAATGGAAGAAGCAAACTAGAAGATAAATATCTGCTTGCTCCTGCCTAAGCAAATCAACAGCAGGAACAAACTGAGACTGTTTCACTATACCTTACCTCAGCCTGTGAACTCTTAAGAATAGTTTTGAATTCATTAGCATGAAAATGATTACTGCTAAGTAATTAATGGTGTTTCAAAGGAATCAAGTCAAATGAGAACACACTAAATACTCATTTCAAGGTTAAGATTTACAGATTTGCCAGTCCTTTTCTCAAAGCTGAAGACAGGCAAGTCATGAAGAGCTTAACAAGAAAACGAGTGAAGTGGCTTTAGGATACCTCAGACTTAGAAAGTAAACTAGCTGTCTTCTGGAGTAAATTCAAGTAGCTTACAGATGAATTGGAGTGTATGTACTTATGGAACATCGTCTTCACTGCACAAAAATCATTACGCACATTTTGGTAGAAATGAACATATCTAAGCTAAGGAATGACAAATGCCTAGAAAAGGGAGAACAACATTCAAACTTAACATTTGATGATTGGAATTATGTGTTAAAGATTCCTATCCTTCAGCTAAGTTGCACTAGCAGTGCTTTCCATCCAAATGCAGCCCCAATACAGTCAGGTAGAAAATGACAGCCTGTTCTCAGAAGAGATCCTTCCTCTTTAAAATATTGATTTAAGAACTGTATTTTAGAAACAGTCCTCTGAAAGGACCGCCTATAGTAAAAAATGTGTCTGGATGGTGCTATTTGATCACACATAACCCAATGATTTTGATTTCAAAACATCTGAATTTAAAGATACAGATTACAGGGAAAAGCAAGTTGCATTAAAAAGACACTTACCCATTTTGTCTTCCTGGACCCAGAACTCCGAATCACTGTACACAATTTGGGTGAATCTCCTGCGTACAGCCTCCTGGTATCTCTGGTTTTGAACATACAAAATTAATCAATCAACACATACTTAGCAGTTCAGCTGTACTAGTTATCACCCAATAGGAAAGCAGGTCATGATCCTCCTTGGTCAAAGTAGGCTTATTTTGCCTAGTTAACATAACACAGAAAAGGGGTAGGCAGGGTGAAATCACAGATAATCATCTCGTTCAGAATGCCATACAAGACTCAACTAGTAGCTAGTACCATGGCAACTCCTCCCATTTCAGATCAACAGCAGTTAGCCAAACAACTGAAGGGCCCTCATGCTGTTCCTGCCTTACCACCAGTGAATTCAAATGTATGCTCAAATGCCTCATATGGATAAGGACACTGCACAATGTAAGCTTCACGCTTCCAACTTATTAATAGATCTCTAGAAGTAAATGGCACTAAACTCAGTAGTTCTAAGTTAAGATAATTTCACTGAACAGGAAGGTAGAGATGAGACTTTAACCAAAAACTATGGAAAAGCTGATCAAAGAAAAATTTTTAAGAAAGCAATATATGAGAAAGTTCAAGTCAAGTAAATGATAACCTCATGAATATTTACATAGCAAGATGGATAAATAAGGGCACAGATAACCCTGTATTTGTCTGACTTCCCCATGTTGCCCCGTAAAATATTTTGGATTGCCAGAGCATATTTCCTTGAGATGCTCATGCTACTAGAATACTAGGATCCTATATCACCAAAAAAATGAGGAAAAAAAGTTAAATTAATAAATATTCAAATACTTTCCAATCTGTGAGACAATCAACATAACCACCATACTGATTCTCCCATTCACATATGATGATCTAAGCCACAGGGTCTTGAGGCAGGAAGCAAACTCGGGTCTACCAACTCTAAAGCCATCACTAAAACTATTAGGGCAAACAATCTTCTTCTATTCTTACACTACTTTTTGCTGGAAGTGCAAACTCCTTCCCAGTCTTTCATTTCATACACTGATCCAGTCAGACCTTGCTTCATTTAAGACTGTAGATACTTACAGATATTACAATTTATGGACAGTAAACAAGAAATTGGCACTAATGAGACCAAACGAGAGAAAATCTTACTTCAATTTCTTCCATTCTTTGCAACATTGACTCCAGACTATGAGTATCAGCCATAAGCAGAGCCTCAGTCTGGAGTCTCTCACGCTGCTCCATACTCCACAGTTCCTGAGCAGTATCTTCCAAAAGATCATCCAATAGCTTTTCACTCAGAATAGCTGCATTTGCTGCAACCTGCTATTTTCATCAGAATAGCTGCATTTGCTGCAACCTGCTAAAAAAAAAACCCCAAAAACAACTGGGGGGGAAAAGAATGCTTACAAATCAAACATTTCTTAGCAGCTCATAACCCAGCCAATGCAAGAAAGAAAGAAAAAAAACCCCAAAAACAACTGGGGGGGAAAAGAATGCTTACAAATCAAACATTTCTTACAGCAGCTCATAGAAATAATCCAATTGTTATCTCAACTTTTCCCTTCAATGAAAATCCAAATAAATTCCTGTTTTCCTTCCACCCACACAATAAGCCAAATCAATAAAAACAGCTTAGTATGTTCCTTCCAATAAAATCAATGAATATGGAAAAAACTTGCTACGCAACTATGTTCCCAAATTGAAGATGAAAATGTCACAGGTTCAGAGATTACCCAGGAATTCAAGAAAGTGAAGTGAAGGCCCTCATCTTACAAAACACTACACACACATTTAACTTCTCTTACAGGAACAGTCTCACAGCAGCTCCAGGTGGTAATGAGTAAATATATGAGATCCAGGCCACAGCCATAGATTTCAGTTGTGTCCAATTTTACCAATTAGCCATGGTATGATATCACTATTCATTTATCTGTATTATTTTACATGAAAACATTTTGCCCCCTAAGCAACTTTATGCATTCAAGGTCATCAAGCAAAAAATATGCAAAAGAGATGATGTTAGAAAGAGCTTTCTCATTGTTTCGTATTGTACATGGTTACAGAACAATACTTTAGAAGGCATGCATGCCCATACAATGTCACTGTTTTAAAGATGTGGCTTATGTAAGTTGAAATTGCTAAGTTCTGGAAATCAGTACTACTTTTCCAGTTGCATTCTGCTATATGGCAAAGATAAAAATTCATCTTAAATGTCAAACAGCTTTACTCTATGACATACAGACAGAATATACCTTCTCAGCTGCATGAGTTAAAAGGTGGTTTATAAATGAAGAATCCTTCAAATGACAGTTTGTTTCCAAGGAGAGATTGATCTTCTAAATAAACGTAAATCCTCTCATGATAATCAAGCTTTCTGTATTATTAGTCATTACTAGTCCAAATTTATTTAGTCATTAAATATGGTATTATAAGAATTATTAAAATAACCTTATCAAGTTATGTTCAGTGTGGAACTGTTATGACCATTCAAAAACAACTTAAAAATGCATCTACTTGACAAGAAGATAACCAAAATATTTAATGCAGCTTTGCCAAACGTCATTACAGTAATTCAAGACCCACATACTGAAATGGAAATACACTCTCCAAATGTCCAAAACTGTTGACTACATAAATATGACTTGCATTAAGTTGAAAAGAAACTGTGTGTTGCCCCTTTATAAATGTTTTACAGCTCTAAAGGCATCCTTCAAACAGTAGCATGAGCTTGACTGTACTACCTGTGTCCTATCTAATAGAGGTTCTAAGCGCTCCCGTACTGCCTTCTCAACTTTGTCTGCACACTGGGTTGGAGAAGCACTTTGTGACCTACACAAAAAAGAACAAATGACAACGGCATTCTGAAACTTGGTATGACAACAATAATTTAAAAATCCCAAACACATAAATGTACTTTTTGGGGGACTGGTGGGAGTGCAGAGAAGACCATATCAGATCTGACACCATTTATTAGCTCTTCAAAGTAAGTCATTACCTTAACTTTTGTATTTTTTTCATTTCTCCTCTGCTAAGGTCAGTTAGAACCTTCACTCTTCTTGAAGTTTCTGCTTCAAGCCATGGTCTTCAAAAATAAAACAGTAACATAGAGGGTTACAAAATGCACATTCTAACAACTGGAGAATGAAATCACATGATTCTGAGTATTATTATATTAATTATATAATATATATAAAAGTATTATCTTAGGTTAGAAAACTTGCAAAAAAACTTTAGAGAGAAAATTAATATTGACTTTAAGACCATATAAGCCAGGAAATTCTGTTGAGAATCGGGGATCTTCAATTATGTTTCTGCTACTGGCAAACAGGCAACTTCATGGCTATCCACAAATACTGCCCAGAGAGACAAGCTCCTTATCTTACCACGCACACTGCCTACTACAGATCCAGCAGCTGGATCAGCAGTTGGATCTCCTGCTTCAACTGCCACAAACAGCAGTCCCAAAGCAAACTAAATTTGGGGAGCCCTGGTCTACAGGATGCTGAATATAGTTTAAAATAAACAAACCTGCACTCTATTACTGGCTAAGACAAAGATATATATTTTGTCCTCCTGGAACAGGGAGATAATATTTACCTTCTTAATGCAGTGCTGTAAATATCCATTCTGCATACTGTGTATTTTGTCAATGCCCTGCCTAGCACAGTTTGGCCTGTGACTCCCAGACAATACTTGGACCTGATCCAGGAAAAAGCATAAAGCAGTGGCTCTCCCCAGGCTGTATGAGTGAGGTCACTTTGTGCTGAGTGGGAAAAGAATACAACTATACAGTAGCAAGCTGTGCTGTGCCACTTGCCTTCATGGTCTGACAGCCAGGCCAAATCCATCCTATTTACTAGTACAGATATAGCAGCATTTCCACAGGAAAGCAGGGTAAAGATGGGTTCCACTAGACTGTGAACGTACCGCTTAGGTGAAACAGGTGGAGATGTAGGGTTTGGAGGCACGCAGGGTATTCTGCTCTCCTTAACAAGTCGTTTGTTCTCTTTTAGCTGGAAAGCTATAGTTGTCTCCTGAAATCGTGCATGCTTTTCTTGAGGCTGTACCTGTCTTGATTTTAGAGATTTCGGCATTCCCTTAAAATTAACACAATCACATTAAAAACATATATTCCAGTTGTTGGATTTTTGAAGTATTTTGCATTCTGCTTCAGAATTTGTCTTGAAGTCATGCCTGCTGGCTTTGTTGCACAGTTGACGTGTGGAGGTTTTACAACTGATTTAAAGGGAAGTACAACTGTGCCTGAACAGAACATATGCTTAATCCTGCAACTATTATTTTTGCAAACAGTTCCAATTTTTCCAATGTTGCTCTTCATGGGGAAAAAACTTCTTTTGAAATTTTCAGCATTAGACTCTATGTTAACTCTTAATAAATCCAAATAGAAGGTTTCCAAGGTAACATTTTATTCAGCCATGAAACTATAATATTGCCATATTTGTATTTGCTACAAGGACACTTCGACTAGTCCCCTCAGTATGAATTATTTAAATGCTTAACCTTCCTGCTCACAGTCCTCACTGATAGATAGATAGATAGATAGATAGATAGATAGATAGATAGATAGATAGATAGATAGATAGATAGATAGATAGATAGATAGATAGATAGATAGATAGATAGATAGATAGATAGATAGATAGATAGATAGATAGATATGGGAAGCAGTAAGTTACATATGCATACATATATGTTACTGTATCAGATCTGATTTTTCAAGCTGATGGTGATACTCTGAGGAAGGAAAAAAAAGAGCATTTAATAAAAAACCCCAACTATATGCAAAATTTAGCACTTGATAGATAGATAGATAGATAGATAGATAGATAGATATGGGAAGCAGTAAGTTACATATGCATACATATATGTTACTGTATCAGATCTGATTTTTCAAGCTGATGGTGATACTCTGAGGAAGGAAAAAAAAGAGCATTTAATAAAAAACCCCAACTATATGCAAAATTTAGCACTTTGAAATATTCTTTAAAGAACTCATTTGTTTGCATTACAGAAGCCTCTTGCTGGTTGCAAGAAGGACTTACCAGAAACCAGAATTTGTATTGTGAAGTTTTATAATTTCTGTAATCAATGAAGTAAATCTGCCTAACTTACATATTCCAACTAACAGTACCATTAGCACAACATTACTGCTGAGTGCGTTTTTCATGACAGAGCATGACCAATAAGAGGAAAATATTTCAGCTTTAATTTCAAGCTGAAAAATAACCATGCTAATTTCAAACATGAAACTAGTTTCGGTGAAAGCTTTCCTTGCTAATCCTGTTATTCATTGTTTCTAGTTGTACAGTGAGTTTCCAAGGAACAATAACACTACTTTCAAAAAACATTTGATAAAATAGTCATAACCACTAGAAATAACATAGGCGGATGACATAGTTTATCCCCCTATGCCTCCTAGCTCAGAATAAAAAAATTGTGAGGAAGTGCAAAGCTTGACAGCGTCTTACATTATATAACAAATCCCAGAGGACAAATAGAAGAAAGCATAAATTCTTTTATCACTTCCATACCTGTGATTTTGCAGGCAATAACACACCTTTCTTCTTCAAAGGGCCACTTTCAAGGATGGGATCTTTTTTTACAGCTCTAGCTCTCACCAATGCGTCTATGCTTCCTTGCAAAGTGGCATTTCTCTCTGGAGTACGTGGGTCACTTTCTTGGAATTTATTGTGCAATGTATGAGCACAACTGTTTGCCTTCTGAACTGCTGAAATATTTGCAACATGTCAATGTTTATCTGTGTCAAAAATAATAAATAAACTTTCAACTGTAAGTTGAAACGGGCAAGAATCATCTTTATTTCTACATTTGATACTTCTGTTATGCTAGGTATACCTAATAATGAACTTCTAAGCTTTACCATAATTAAAAAAAAAAAATCAAATAAAAAAAGAAAAAAAAAAACCCTTGTATTTCCTGTCACGTATTAAATAAGCTGTCTTTCTTACACTGTTTCAATGAACAGGAGATTTTGGGTTTTGTGTGCATATACATATTTATACGTATGTAGATATTTGAAAATACACATATATATGAAAACCATGGGAAAGCCTTTTGGTAGTAATCGCCATATGAAGTCTAGGCAGTGATAACAAAACATTCTTTTTTTAGGCAGCAAGACACGTGGAAACCATTCGATGCTTGTCAATATACTGCCTCTCTGGACTGCCAAAGATGAATTCATCTCATAGAATTCTTCTCACCCTTACTTAGGGGTAGAAAGGAATACTTACTATTCTAGTAAAAACCAGTATGAGGTATGAGAAAGACACACCAAAGAATAAAAAAATTAATATAGGTTATATAATAATGTAATAAGCTATAATGGCTTTCATGAGGTGTCAAAATACTTCAGGTGAAAGAATAAAGCCCATTTCCTTTCATATATGAAGAACAATAAAGTAAACCAATTCCCAAAGGTTGCATGGTGAACTAGTAGTGAAAAAACCAAAGCCTTCAGCTTAACTATCAGTTAACGTGTCTCTAGGTACTGAAACTGTGATTACTGTGCAGAAGACAGTAACATTAATGAGCTGGCAAGAATAAAACACTGCCACCCCCCTCAAAACTAGAGAAACTGCACAAACCAAGGAAATTCTGAGCCAAGGCTTCAGTAAATCTTTTCACTGTAAACTGTTAAACAACAATAGCTTTGTTGGGAGATTTGCTAACAGTCAGAGACTTTGCATTCCAAAATAATATATTTATACAGTATTTTCTAGTTAGATATTTGGAAATATTCTGTATGCTCCATTAATGTCAACTTGTAAACTGCCATTTAGGTGTACACCGCAGAAAAACAATCTAAGTGTAGCCCACAGTAAAAGAAATGGACAAAAATAGGAAGAACATGATGATGATAATAATATAGTTATAAAGAGGTATATAAACCTGCAGGTCTATCATCTCAGGGAAACAGCTGAAAAAAATGCATAACAAGGCTATGTGAATCTGATAACTACATATGGGCTGTTATACACTTTTGACCAACAATACATAACATACTATAAAACCGAACCGCAGATGGTAAGTTACTGATAAAAATGTATTTAGTAATTCAAAATACAAACCAGTCAAGAGACTCCTGGCAGCTGGAGGTTTTCTAGGTTCTTGTCTGTGCTGTCCCTTTAAGATGAGAGATTTGTTTTCTCCTTTTGGAGATGTAAGCTGCTTTCTGGCTGGAAATGTCTCTGTGTTCCTTGGAGATTTGCCCTGAGATGCTGAAATACATTTCTTCACTTTTTTGGGTGTTTGTTTCTTTTCCAGCAGTGAATCCAGATCCTGCACCAAATATTTAGAATTTTAATTACACTCTCAGTAAACCTGATGTAATAATGAGAAGCAAATTCAAGAGATTCTATGTAGTTGGAACTTTTTTGGTGTGGTTTTTGTTTTTGTGGTAGTGATTACTCCTGATAGCTTGTTCATGCAGAAGCTTCTTCATATTATTATCTTACAGAAAAGCCTTGCATTTTTATATTTACAACTGACTCCAGCAAATTATCTGCTTACAGCATGTTCAAAAAGAAACGGACACAAAGGCTACAGACAAAAAATGCCCACATGACTGTGGTAAGACAGATCGACACTTCTTCCAATGCTAAATCCAAACTTAAACAATTCTACCTCCTTTCCTGTTCCCAGGCAGTTAGCACTGTTGCTGTTCTCATAAGCAGTTCGGAACAGTAAAAATAAAAACACAGCTCTTACAGTTATAACAATATTTTAAGGAAAATAAAATATCTTATGGCTATTGCATCAGTTGCTTTTATTCAAATTAATTAAATACTGGTTTCATAATAGTTCAGGTTACATAGGTTCTTAAAAAAAAAGTCTTGTAGGCAGGAACTGCAGCAGGAAATGTGAATCAGAACTTTTCTATTATACTAACAACATGTTTTAAGACACCAGATATCACTAACAAAAGTCATTTGAAGGGCATAGAGCTTAAGTAACTCTTGTAGCTACAACTTTATCTTCTGCCTGGACAATTCTGCACCCACCACCATGTGTGAGGTCAGATGCTTATCACTAATCCTGATGACTAAAGCATGCATTGCAAAACAATAAACACATAACTTACGCCAATGTATAAAATGCAATTCTTTCAGTCCTGAAAATGGCAAACGAACCAGAAACTGGTGCTTTGTTAACCACTATCACTACCAGTCCTCACTCTACCAGGAGAGCCAGTAAAGACAGGAACAGCATCAACAAGAAAAGCAGCAGGTAGCTTCTGTGTTTAAGATGCAACTCTGTTTTACACTACCATTATTTAGGAACTTCAGAAACATATTTATACATTAGAAAATTGGCCTTTAAAAAAAACCAACCCAACAGCAAGATATTCTGCCATTTCATGAACACACAATATAGTTTGCAGTGTCGTATTTCACGTCTTTTCTGCCTTAGCAAAAACATTTTGTTTTTTCCTACCTCAACTTGCAGCAAAATATCTATGATAACATCAGAAATGGAAGAATCCACTTCTAGTTTGGCAGAACAGAGGGACAGTTGTCGAATGAGACTGCCCAGTTCCTTGTAGTGGGTAGGAATCTGCTGCTCTGTTTGATCTGTAAACTGATTGGCAAATGCCTGCAAGGCTCGTACAGCTCCTCTGTGCGCTGCTGCCAATCTGGATACTGCTCGAGACTGGAAAAATGAAAAATAAATGCTTTAATAGCTATAGTTTCTATGAATACTGATACTATTCAAAGAATTGTTGCCAAAATTTCACGGAGAAACACTCAGGCTTGGGATAATTCTGATGGATATGAGGCCATTTGTGAGACAAAACAAAACAAAACAAACAGGCATTTGAGCAATCTACTAAAGCACTACACAACAGTACTCATATCAAGTATCATGCTAGCTTCAGATAAAATAGCCTGGTTATAACATATTCTGATGTTTCTACTACCTACACCAACAGAGTACTGTAGTCACGGGCTTGACCCTAACGTGCAACAATTGCACAAACATAGAACATTCTCCATCCTCCAGTTTTTGTTACAGAAGAAAATACAAGTGATGGAAAAGCACAAGAGAACAACAGGACAATATTGGCCAAACAGTAGACATGATCTCAGTACTATCTTTCTGAAAGATGCTGGGCGGAGAAAAAAATCAGAAAAGAGGCTGATAAGACTGAGTGACATCAACAGGAAGTTAAAAAAAGTAGTCAAGAGTAGAACACACTGTTATTCAGAGAAGGAAGTGGAATGAAGAAGGAATTGGAAGCCACATAAAAGCAGAAGACCAACAGCCTTCCTCTCCAGTTTACTGTAGACAGATAAGAACTGAGGAGAAGAGGGAAGGAGCAAAGGCAGTATCAGACCAAGTGAGACATACTTCTGTGAGAATGAGATGAAAGGTGCAAGAAACAAAGAAAATCTCCCTTCTGGAGAGGGCCTAGGTGTACCCTAGACAATCAAACTCAATTAGCTAGAAAACTTTCTGTCAATAAATTACTCACAGCCTGAAGGATAATTACATCTTACCTTTTTAGTATGTTTGATTTTATGAGGACTCAGTTTCTCTAAATCATCCTGAATTTCTTTTACCTGTTTATCAAGAAAGGAGGGGGAGAGGGGAAAGTCAGTCAGAATTAGCTCCATGTCTATAAATGAACAATTAATCTTCACTGTAACGTCTGAGTGAAAGTCCAATTTTTCCAACAGTGATGGTCATCTCTCTGTCCAGTCATGAGAGAAATTAGTCACACCATCCAGATCTAAACTAGAATGCCATGGAAGTTCAGAGATAACCCAATCGAATTTCTCTTGTTTCAGTTAATTTCTGTCAAATTCATCACAATAAACTAGCTATTCTACACCCCAATTTAAAACGCTGATTCCTACCTGTTGCTGGAGCACATACAGCATCCGAGCTGACCGTGCAGCTTGTTTCTGTCTCCTAGTGCAAACTTGTTGCTCTTTATCAGGATCTAAAATTTCTCTCTCTCTCCCTAAAAAGCATGAAATGTAAAGTTTTATGTCTTCATTTAACCTGTGAAAACCCCTATTAAGCCATGATAACAAACATAATTTAGCAATAACCCTCTTTCATGCAGAACCTATACACAATGTATCACATTTTGCAGGGCTCCCTTGAGCAGCAAAGCACTGCAAAGCACTAAGGCTTTCTCTTTTTTCAACTATGCCCTGCCAGTGCAGAGGCTGGGGGTGTGAAAGAAGCTGGGAGGGGACACAGCCAGGACAGCTAACCCCAACTGATCAAAGGGATATTCCACGCCGTGCCAGGCAATAAAAAAAAAATGGAGGTTTTTTGAGGGAAGGTAGCCTTTGCTCACAGATTGTCTGAGCATTGGGTCTACTTGTGGGAGGTAGCGTGTGATTGCCTTTGCATCACTTGTTTTTTTCTTTCTTCTTCCTCTTTCCTTCCCTTCCTAAACTATCCTTATCTCAACCCATAAGTTTTCCTGCTTTTAATCTTTCTATTCTCTCCCCCGTCCCACCAGGGGGAAAAAAAGCACAAGTGTGTGGCGCTTCGCTGCTGACCAGGGTTAGCCCACAACAGTGTCACAAAGCACATTAATCACGCTACTGCACAGCCATAAATTAGGTGTCAGACTTGTGAAATGAAATTTTACTAACTGTTGCCCCCTTTCTCATCACTGATAAGAATGTGGTTAATTATGATACTGTTTTTTGCAGTCTGAATATCTAGTCAATAGGCCTACAGACACCAATATTTTTTCACCCACGTTATTAAATAGCTTACCACTAATTTACTATCGTTGCAGGTTGGATTGGAACTTACCACAAACACTCAAAGATATTAAACCCTGCTATTGCTTAAACAGGCTAGCCATTCTAGCTTTTATCTACTTTTGAAAAAAGTAGATGGTTCTCAAAAATTCAGAACTAAATACGGATTCTAATCCAAGCCAAAAACCAGAAAAACAAATCAACCAACTACTGTACATTTATATAACATAATTATTGTTCAGTCTTACACCTTTTTTAGTCAGTTCTTCAATTTTGTGGATGTAGCTCCTCAATTCCTTTTGCAGCCGTCGGACTTCCTGCATATTTTTATCTTCTTTTTTGTTTACATTTGGCTTGGGGTCCGGTCCTGTGTCATGGGTGGGTGGAGAGTCCAAAACAGCTGGTATTAGCTTTCTCTCATTTGGTGTGTAGAGATAAACTTTAGCACCAGAGATGGTAGTCTCCACTTTGGAAGGCTGACCAAGTTTCTGCTGATATTTCAAGTGAGTTTGAGACTTCACTGCATTTTTATGTTCTGGACTTTCAAATACTTCAGTCTTCTGCTGTTGTGACTTCTGGGCTAACAATGGTTTATTGACAGCATCTCCAAACACTTGCTGTTTCACTTGCTCTTCAAGATGTCTTCGTTTTATGTCCCTTTTGGCTAGCTGAATAGCCAATTTTAGTCTCTCTTCAGATATCACTGAAAACATGACAGAGCTTCTTATGCTGGGGTCCTCACTTCCAGCTAGATTTCTCTGATCATTGGATGCCTTCAGTTTTTCTATTATAATTGGACGGGGGTTAGAGAATCTGAGAGCCAAGTTCTCTGGAACTGCAGGGACATTTCTATTAAACTGGAGCTGTTCCAAAGGGTAAAAAAAAAAGCTGATGTTACATAGAACACTTTACACAGGTGATGTACTTCTAGTGTATAACAGTAAGGAAGTTGGATCTTCTTTCATATTAGAATGCATTCTGTCATGATGGTACTTCTTCAATGCATGCAAGGCATTCCGTCCACTCAGACAAATGCCAGTATTCAAAATTATTTTGAATTAAGCATTTAGATCATCTTGTAAATAACATTAGGCACTTATCTGCAACTTAGGGTGGGCACCTTAGGGAGGGTACACACATTGAAAAATCTGCTCCAAAGTGACTGGGCAATGGACAATGAATGCCCTTATAAAGATTTTTTTTAAGAGTTCTGACAATGAAATTAATGACTTATAACAACAATTAACATTAGTAATATAAATGGGTATGATTATAGCATACTGATTTAGTAAGGCATTACTAAATTTACAAAGGTAACAGAAGGAGAAATGATGAAGGAGATGCATGATGAAGAAGAAATGGAAAGCTGAAACATGGTACCAGAATAAAGTTTCTAGGTTCTGTTTCCATGTAGTAAAGTAAGAGCTTAAGATACTGTGCTGGTTTTGGCTAGGATAGAATTAATTTTCTTCATAGTAGCTAGTACAGGGCTATGTTTTTGGATTTGTGCTGAAAACAGTGTTGATAACACAGGGATGTTTTTGTTACTGCTGTGCAGCGCTCACACAGAGTCAAGGCCTTTTCTGCTCCTCACCCCACCCCACCAGCGAGCAGGCTGGGGGGGCACAAGAAGTTGGGAGGGGACACAGCCGGGACAGCTGACCCCAACTGACCAAAAGGATATTCCACACTGTATGGCGTCATGCCCAGCATATAAAGCTGGGGGAAGAAGGAGGAAAGGGGGAATGTTTGGAGTTACGGCATTTGTCTTCCCAAGTCACCATTACATGTGATGAAGCTGCAGAAATGGCTAAACGCCTGCCTGCCAATGGGATGTAGTGAATGAATTTCTTATTTCGCTTTGCTAGCACGTGCAGCTTTCACTTTACCTAGTAAGCTGCCTTTATCTCAACCCATGAGTTTTCACACTTTTACCCTTCCGATTCTCTTCCCCATCCCACTGGGGGAGAGTGAGCGAGCGGCTGTGTGCTTAGCTGTCTACTGGGATTAAACCACAACAGACAGGTAAATAATATTTACAGATGTAGTTTCTGATCCATACCCTTACAAAAGGACAGGGTCAAGATTATGTATGACAGCATCATGAAAGCAAGTATGAAGATTTCACGCTCACTAGTGGGCTATTCTCAGGAAGTGGCTCATAATCATCTTTTTATAACAATCACAAATGAAAACCAATTCAGCATCGCTGCATAAGTCAAATAATACCTGTGTTTGTAAAGCCTTTGCTTCATTCCTGTACAGCTGAGTAGTGAATGCAAATGTAGCATCAGACATGGTTGGCTTGCTTGGTCCCATCACATCGGCTTGATGCTGAAAATCCAGTTATTTATCCTTTGCTTACAATTACAACTATGAACATGAGAAGAATCATACATTATTTCTGCCTCTCAAAAGCAATCCCAGGTCGGATGTGAATAACAGATAGAGAACCAACCTGAGGAGGCATGTAGAAATGCAAAACGTATCATGTGTACTTGTACAGGCAGTACACAAAATGGAGAGTACAATCCCGCCATTTTAAGGCAAAATTTACAATTTATATCCTTCTCTTACAGACCCCCACGGAGAGCTGAGGAGCACCACTACAGACTATGAGGCTCACACTATGAACCATAAGAAGACTACCGCAGAACTTTTATAGCTATTACTTATCTAGAAGGGAAACAGTATACTGCAACGAGAAGAAAAGAAAACAGACTAGCAAGATAGCCTAAGGCAATGCTCAAGGCAGCCGGGTCTGCACAAAACACGTGAGTGTCAAAGGAAAACAGATCAAGGGCATGCCCATACCTAAACCTCTTCACAGAGAAGGATTTAAAATAAAAGCAACGTGTGGAGACAGCCTGAGGCTTACGTCTCCTTCATCTGCCTCCGAGAATTAAAAAATGAGCAGGATCCAACGCATAACGCTGTTAAAACTTTCTATCGCGACTGAATTACAGGTTCTGTCTCTGCTCCTTAGCTCAGCCGCATGTACCTCTTCAGGTCTCACACAACTCAGGAGTCCGGACGCCTGTTTGGCCGTGCCTGCCTGCAGGTTTTGGTCACGACGCGCCTCTCGCGAGGGGGACACCCCTGCGGTGCGACCTCTCTCCAGCCGCCCGCAAGTCAGAGCCCGGCGGCCGACCTACCTCGCGCCCCAACCCTGCCGGCGACAGCCCGCGGCG